AATAAGATTAATATCATAAGATCGTGTGCAGACAATACATAAAGCTGAACGCTTGATTCTCAAGCCGAGAAAATAATCATTTCTTAGCTGTGCCTGGAGTATTGCGTTCATGGGCATCATAAAGGTGTCTGTCTATGAAACTTGAGCATGGTTAGCTGGGTTCTTGAGCTCATTCGACATAATATCAATAGCAATCGACTCCTCTATGTGGCGGCCACTATGAAACCGAGGCAATCACTAATTCGACTTGTTAAGGACTCGCAGCTGATGACGAATTGGCAGCTGATGATGAGAGAATACCGTAGCCAGATTGTGCTCTGCCTCTGCCCTTCGACAAAAAATGATTTATTAGGACGTGTCGACCGCATCAAGATCTCGGTAAAGTTCCTGTTTGACATCGTCACTTGCCCAACACATATCCACTCCATTGCGTGCCAGCGTCACCATATCATTCTTGGTGAAGTTACAGTAGGTGTACGCCTTCTGCATGTTCCCGTCCACCCACACGTCGTGCATGTACACGGGGTCGTCACTGTTGATGCAAAACTTGACGCCCTTATCCCACAGCCTGCGGATCTTGGGGAACAACACGTCCGTCGGCGTGCGGCGATGATACGCGTGAGGGCACAGGGTCAGCCCGATGCCCCGGTCCAGCAGGCCCTGCAGCAGATCGTCGCGGTCCGCGGCGTCCAGGCCGTGGTCGATGCGCTCCGCGCCCGCCCCGCCGCACACCTCGAAGACGGCCTCGCGGATGTGCTCGAAGGTGTCCTTCTGGCCAAAGTCGCAATGCATCGTCACGTGCAGCCCGTCGGCCTTGGCCCTCTGGAAGGCCGCCTCGAAGAGCATCGGGGGCCGTTCGAAGGCGTTGCTCGCGAGCCCGACGGCGTGGAAGAGGCCCTTGCCACCCTCGACACCGCCGCCCGCCCACGGCCTCGACGTCTCGTACGCCGCCTCGCCGTCCTCGACGCTCTCGTCGCGGATGAAGCAGAATACCCAGTTGGACCGCACGCCGTACCGCTCCACGCCGTCGCGCTGTGCCCGGAGGTAGCCGTTGAGCACGTCCGCGGCGGGCACGCCCCGGCGCGTGTGCGCCTGGATGTCGAAAAAGGGCTCAGTGTATCGGACGTTCATCTCGGCACACCGGCGGAGGTAGTCCATGGACATCTCGTAAAAGTCGTCCTCCGTTCGGAGGACTTCACAGCCGGCGAAGTAGGCCTCGAGGAAGGTCGGGATGCCGGGGACGCGGCCATTGATTTCCGGGCGGTGGTTGAAAAATACCTTGTAAGATTCCAAGAGAGCCTCGTAGGTGTCGTACGGCAGGGGCACATTGTTGCGCTTGGCGAGCTTCCACCGGAGGGCGGGGAGCAGGGTGCCCTCAATATGGATGTGTAGCTCGACCTTGGGGAGGGCGGCGATGAAAGGCGAGATTTCGAGGCCGTTCATGACAAGTGTGTTTTGTACCCCGGGTTTAGTCTGTGGCGGAAAAGTACTCAAATGCGGTCGTGATGTAGAACCAATCAATCTCTCGAAATCTGGAGGTAAAGCCGGGATATCTTTACGGTATGGTCACCTTTGGGCATTTACCGATCTGGCTCGGCGACTTGCTATAAAGTCCGTTATGTCGGACATCGGCCGACAGTCCACATCTTCCTAACGGCCACAGATGCGCCGTGGTCCGTTTGTAAACCTACTTCGTTCTCAGTAAGCGCGGAGAGACCAACAAGCATCAAACGGCTCAAGCCGGGGTCGGATAGCTGTTCTTGCAGGGATGTGGGGCAAAAAGGATCCGATAAGAGTCAAGACAACAAGGGCCTCTTGGGTGAGGTTCTTGGTTCATCAGCCAACCATATTCGTTGAGCGCGGCTCAGTGCTTGTCAAGCCAAAGCTGTTCATCCATGTCTTGTCCTGTCGTCTCCAGCTGTTCATTGCGCCAGTCGAAGCCTGATATCACCTCTCTCCGCATTGAGCCGTCCTGTTGGGAGACTCGCTTACTAGCGGAATACCGTCGCATCCTGTCCGCTCGGATTTTCGCCGACAAAGAGAGGGCGGGCCGCTATCTGTAAAGAATTGGACCCTGGTTCCATGAGCACGAACGTCGGCTTATCTCTCTTGCCCGCAATAGTCTGTCTCCCCGTCGGTGCAGATTCCGGTTCGCAGTGGTTGGGGGCGAGGAGAGAGGGCGGCGAGACGCGTTTGGTCGGCAAAGATCGGCAAAGATAAGCATCGGTGATTTTTATTTTCTTGGTTCAATCTTACTCGTTCGCCGCGGAAAGGGCGTCGCATCAACCCCGCCAGGCCTTGTTGGATGGCCGCTCTATTCAAAAGGGCGATGCCCCGGTGGCATTCCCGAGATGCGTCACTTTGCGACTCCGTAGCGGCTTCGAACTCTCGCGCAGACGATCACGGCAACGACGAAAGGCAGAGTCTACTCGCCAACATGGGGTCACCATCGGACGTCCAGCAGAACCCTCCTCCCGCCGAGGCACAGCCTGGTGAACGGCAGCATGTCGACAGCACGATGGCCAAGAGGATTGTTCGAAAGATCGACCGCAGCATCATCCCGCTGCTCTTCATCACGTACATGCTCAACTTCATGGACAAAACGATCCTGTCGAGCGCGGCCGTGTTTGGTCTCAGAGACGACACCGTGAGTTGCGCTCTACGACGTGGTCTACCGAAGTCGTTCTAATAACCACGTGCACACAACAGAAACTCAAGGGTCAGAACTACAGCTGGGTGTCGAGCATCTTCTATTTTGGCTACTTCGCCTGGACGTACCCCACGTCGATCCTCATCGCTCGGCTGCCCGTCGCCAAGTACATGACGGCCAATACCTTCTTCTGGGGCGCCGTCGTCGCGCTCACGGCCGCGTGCACCAACTACGGCGGCCTGCTCACCGTCCGCTTCCTCCTCGGCGTCGCCGAGGCCACAATCACCCCGGCCTTCATGTTCCTCACCTCGACGTGGTACACCCGCGACGAGATCCCCACCCGCACCGGCATCTGGTTCGCCGGCAACAGCGTCGGCGGCCTCGTGGCCTCCTTTGTCGCCTTCGGCTTCGGCCACGTCTCCGACGACCACAAGGTCGGCCCCTGGCGCGCTATGTACATTCTCCTCGGCGTCCTGACCTTCTTCTGGGCTTTCGTGCTCTGGATCTGGCTGCCCGATACCATCGCCAAGGCACGCTTCCTCACTCCTGACGAGCGCCGGTACGCGGCTGACCGCGTTGTCATCGCCGGCACCGGCTCGACGGCCAAGGCGCACTGGAAATGGGACCAGGTGGTGGAATGCTTGGTTGACCCCAAGACCTGGTTCATCTTCGGTCTCGAGATCATCACGCAGATCCCCAACGGCGGCACCCAGAACTTTGCCAACCTCGTCATCAAGTCGTTTGGCTTCACGAGCCTGCAGTCCACCCTCATCAACATCCCCTACTCGCTGCTTACGGCTGGTGTCATCGCGGGAACCGGCTGGATCGCGGGCCGCTACCGCAAGATGAACTGCATCTTGATCGTCATCATCGTGCTTCCATGCATCACGGGTTCGGCCATCATTTACTCTCGCGAGAGCGTCAGTAGCGGCGTCCAGCTGTTCGGCTACTTCCTCCTCGCGCCCGGCCCCGCCGCGATGCCGCTAGCCATGTCGCTCGTCCAGGCCAACTACCGCGGCGTGACCAAGAAGATGACAATGTCTGCGCTGCTTTTTCTGGCCTATTGCGCCGGCAACATCGCCGGCCCCCAGTTCTTCAAAGCTTCCGAAGAGCCGCACTACAACACCGCCTTCCGGACCATCATGATCTGCTACGCGCTTGTCGTACTTCTCGCGCTCGGTTTGAGGTTCTACCTGCAATGGATGAACGCTAAGCGCACCAGGGAGGAGGGATACGAGGGTAGCGCCGGAGGCGCGGGAGCTGTCGGTGGCGGCAAGGTAATGCAAGCGGATGGGAATGCGAACGATGTTGCGGATATGGTTGATCAAGTTGAGCTGCGTCCCGAAGACTACGAGGATGTGACGGACTGGAAAACTGCTGGCTTTAGGTACCGCCTGTGAGCGAGGGGCATAGACTTATAGTTGCGGTCGGCGGTAAACCCAAGATAATATGCCTATAGACACAACTTTGGGGTCATGAGTCTTCAGTGATGTCGCGGGTGCAAATTCCCTTAGTCAAAGTGAGCGGCGACATGATGCCCCACCGCCGCTGCATCTCCTTCGAAATCGCCGCAAACCGGACAGATCACCGCCTCGGAGGCCGCCGGACGAGGTACCGCGTCCGCCGTCTCTGTGCCGGGGGCCGCTCCGGATCTGCCCCGCCCTCCGCTCTTCTGTTTGGCCGGGCGAATGTAGGCCTCGAGCCCGACCTGTGATGGAGGAAGATCGGCGTCTGCCTCTTGACGGCGGCCTTGCCCACGTCGCGGCGGCCGGCCATTGGCGGAGGCCGCCGGTCCCGCATCCGCTCCCGCGAGCTCTTGGTCCGTAGCAGACGAGATCAGTTGCGCTCCGGCGTGTGACTGCACTCGTCCGACTCGCCCGTCGGTGAGGCGAACTTTGATGCCCCGGGGGTGGTTGCCACGGGTGAGAACATCTTGGACGGTTCCGGTCACGGTGCGGCCCGTGGGCTGATCAGCTTTGAGAACGATGTTGACGCTGGCGCCACGTACGACAGTGGCTACCGTGGGAACCCAGCTCATGATTGCGAGGTATCAACTCTCCCCTTGAGTTTGTTGTGTGTTGTGTTGGTCCAGCGTTACGGTTGTCATAGACTGGAATGAGATAATATATGGCATTGAATACGAGAACGAATTACATAAAGATTGCATGCCTGGCAGGGCCTGTCCCACTCTATGGTAGGACAAGCATGGGCAGGGGCCAATATGACGCTACTTATAGTATCCACCCCGCACCAAACCATCCCAATCCGCCCGCAGACTTTCCACAGACCCTGGCAGAGAGGGTTTCACCAATATAGGTCTAATTTGATTTGGTTTAGATATAGAAAAAAAGGCCGGATGTCGCAATGGTAGCGAGCTACTTTCCGGTGGTAGAGGTTCTGGGTTCGAGTCCCAGTTCGGTCGTTCCATTTTTGGTGTAGTTTTTCAAACCCCCTATCACTAGGTTTTTTACAAGGTGTTTTGATGCTGTTTATGCTGTTGTATCACTGTGTATGAGCCCATGCTCATAGACATACACGTGAGAGGAGACTTGTAAACTCTTTTGAAAGCTCTTGAAACACAGCTGGTTTGCTGCGGCTTGGTTACATTTGCGAAAGTGTCTAGATGTATGGCGGTCTGAGTGAGCAACTCACCGCGACATAGATTTTGAGAGACACAACCAACGATCGACACGAGAAGAATTTTACCAAGCACAACTACTCAATTGAGTAAGATGATAAAGTATATCTAAGTCTGTTCTCTGTTGGGACCTACAGCGCAGCTTGGCTCAACATTGAGATAGACCAACCATCCCCTGCACGGTTCTGGGCAGTTGATCTAATGGGCTTACTTCGTACATTGAACAACAACAAGACTACTGTGTCGCATAAAACCCGATGGTCTTCTTGCTGTTGATGAGCGTTGGTTTTGGGCATGATGCACGTTGCGTGGTCAAACGCCACCACCAACTTGGACTATACTAATCCGTTCTGTTGGACACATAGTACACGCCATGAGCTCTGCATACTTCAGTAGGTTTACCCTTGATCGGCTCATTCGCTTCTCGCACTTGGGGACGCTAGTCTCGGCTCAATCCGGATGCTTGGTCTACTTGGGTACGGTCCTCATTCGTGAGAGTGGGTAAAACGGCCGAACAGAGCTGATAAAGTGGTATGTCGGGATAGGATGGCATACTGCCAGCGGGATCCGGATTCAGAAGCAGCATCTGGGAAACACTCTGGCATCGCGGCTGTCACACTCTCAAGCCTGGCCCCTATGCTTTGTGCAGGACTTTGTACAGGCTCTGCGTAATGTGTTGGATGAGCGCGAGAGTCCCGCCAGAGGCGACATGGGAGAACCCAGTTTTTCTTGAAGTAATCCTGGGAGTAGAAGTAGCTCTATTATTGCCAATTTTGACCATTTTGAAGCAGGTTGGGCAGTGCAAAGCGTCAGTATCATTGTCAAGCCCTACCCCTAAACATTTCCGTTTCGGTGGCGATCCCGATGCGTTGTCGCCCATCGCACCGGTATTCGCAGAGCAATACTTACCAATTACAACGACAGCATAAGAGAAAAATGATCAGACAGAGATAAGAAAGACGGGAGCTTATGAGTGTTATTGTGTCGCGCGATTTCTTCTGGGTGCTATTGCAAGAAGATGCATCATTTTGCGACATACAGTTCATTTGTGTTCTGCATTACCCTGCCCTCCCTCTGCACAAAGTCTATGGTTATTTCGGTCAGATCATGTTTAAAGATATCGAGCTCATCCCCTACAGAAAGACATAGATACTCATTTTCGAATACTTCGTGTGATGGAGTCGTCCCCGCAACCCTTCACAACCCAGCCGGTAATAAACAACCTATTGTAGACACGACAAGGAGAGACGGGAATATATGAGATCCCTGGTCATTTTCGAGAGGTCGCAACCAGTTTCATTTACAAGTGTAATGGACCGTTGTCTCTCGGCAACCGCAATGCGCAGGTTGTGTACCTGTTTCGTTGTGTGGATGCGTTCTACAGGGAAGCGACTGATCTAGAATTCCAAGCGCTAAGGGCAGAAGAGGGACTTCGATCAGCCGGATCGGCTCAGGAATCGGTCTCAGATGGATCGAAAATTATTTCAGTGAGGGAAAAGTGATGGATATTGGTCAAGACAGTGTCCCACTTTAAGAAGGCGAGCGTCACACCTCGGGATATCGAAACCAACTTAAAAGTCCCCCAAGACGCATATATGATTCTATGTAATGGTACTCTATAACGACAACCATATCTCATTTATCAACGGAAAGAGACGCTCTTGTATGACAACTAGCTTGGTGTAGACAGATGCCATTCGCACTTCTTGTGCCATTTTCTTAATCTCATCCGACATTGAGAAAAGTGCTTTCACATGTCCTACCGCAAGGCCACTCATGACAATACTCCACTCCCAGACAGTCTCGATTTCGTATCGTCCGACACGGACGTTCAAGGGCGTTCGTTTGTCCCCGGTTTGTGGGGGTACGGAGGCTTCCAGCCTTTCGGCACAGTTGGACTTCCGAAGCTCGGCAACGGCCTGTTCGCAAAGCTTGGCAAGCCTGTCCGTCACCATAGCCAACACAGTGATATTCTCAGGTCTTGACCAGCATTGAGGACATCTTACGAGAGCCTGGCTATGGCCGAGAGCCTCCTTGACTGTCGAAAGTGCGACGTCGACGCCCCTGGCTATGGCAGTATCCTGCCCCGTCTCGAGTTCGTCCAGGATGAAGACAACGGCTTGAAGACATGTACAGGTGCTTTCCATCTGGTCATCCTGTGCTTTTTTATGGCAGTATAACGGAGGTGTGCTGGAACACCTTGGTAGAACAAATCCCCTAGAAGCACCGCTTGGGCCGGTGTCTTCTAGGAAACGAGGACTGGGCAGACTGGGCATGAACCATTGTTCCTGCTCTCCCCACGATTTCGTCGGCGTCAAATTATCCTGGCTCATATCATTTTCGTCTGTCAAGGTAGACGCGTTCGTCAAGGCTGGGAGATTGTCGACCTCATCGTAGACGGTGTTTTCCCCACCAGGCCGAACATCGTTGGTTTCCCCGAGCGATGGCTCGCTCCCTCGCAGCCAGGAAGAGACAGTGTCTTCCTCTTGTTGTAGGTCAATGACTCCGGCCAACATCGATTCGGAAATGCGGGGCTCTCCCGAGCTGCTTGGCGATTGTGTCTTGGCGGCCTCCTTCATAGCCGCGGACGAGTCTTCCAAGGCCGCTTCTTGGTGTCGGCTGGCAGGTACCGCATAGACGCAAGTTCGCTTCAACTGTTTGTATCGATAACGGCCCTCATGTTCACCTGTGAATTGGGGCTATTTTGTTGAGGCCGTCAGTCAATATGAATATAGTGCTAAGCTCATGAGGGTAATTGTATCTTCCTGTCGCCAATGGACACGATCGACCAACAAGGACGTGTACACACGGTGAAGAATCTGCTAGTCACATTGCATACCTCTGAGATTCGCACATAAGGACTGACCTTCATGGAACTGCGTCGATTGCAAGCCTGCCGTCCGGAGGATCGGTCCGTTTCCGTCTTTGTGTTCAAACGCCACGTAGTGATGATCTTGCGGTACCTATGTGTCGCGTACGACATAGCTTGAGTCAAGTCAGAGTTACCTAGCCCTGAGTCGTGACGTGGGCGACTGATGAGATATAAATTACGAGACAGGAATTACGAGATATAATAAATGTCATATATTCCACGGGTTGGCAACACAAAGGCATGTTATTTATCCATGGCGTGATCAGTCCTTTTGGTGGCAACGTGTCCAGCCTCACCATATGCTTTTGCGGTAGGCTACAGAATAGCTATGTAAATTTTAGGTTCTTCTAGTTCTCTTCTTGTGCATAGGGCTGACTCGTGAAGCTTTCGTTCTACCTTCTGAGCATGTTACAGCCTAGTAGAACCATGTATCTGAGATATCCGCTCAATCGAAGGCAACCTCAGCGAATCTGGACTACTTGGTCTCGGACACGGCAACTGCTCCGGCACCTGAGTAGATTAAACTCTCATAGCTCAACTACCGATAACGACCAAGTTGGCTTTAGTCGACGATCCATTCACAAAATCAGATTCCGCGGCTGTTAGCTTTCCCTCGACCCCAAACCTAACGTCCAACTACTAAAAAGTTCTCTGCGCCATCCGAAGCCCGCAACCTTGGCTTGCAACACCAATCTTCCGTGGGCGACTTCGTACGCTATCCGTTTCTCCTTGTCAACGACGGACTTAAGATCTTGCTTTCAAGGAATCACAGCTTCCCTGTTGGCGCCACCGCGTCATGATACATGCGATCCCCCGCACCTGCGACCAGCGTTGGACATTTAACGTCTATTAGATAATACCATGTTCCGTCCGATTTCGCAACGTGTAGTCGGCGGCCGCCTATAGCGCAAAGCAACTCCTCATGGAAGCGCCCGGAACAGAAATATGGTCATGGTCAAGCCCAAGATCTGGATGGCTCGTCGCAAACCAAACAAATGATTCAGGGCTGCTCCAATGACGAGTTTCTAGTCAGGGCAAATCGGACATGAATCTTGTCGCGGCGCAAAATTACCCCCTGTCCTCGTCCCTCGAATGTGATGACCGCATAGCCCGCCTCGGGTCCGAACGCGTGGTTGACAAAGTAGATCCGCTCCTGGGTAGAGTACCCCCCACGGCTCCGTCCGAGTTCAGTAGCACTGAAACTTTGCGACCAGGGATGCCCTTCGAGGCCTCGGTATGTCCATATACGCAGCCGGGCAGATTAAGTTCTTTCTCGTACGGAATGCACAGGAAAAACGTCTGACCGTCGAGATACGGTACTCCCTTGCGGAAGTTAGTAACGGACCGCTTAATCATAAGAAGCAACCGCCCGCTTGTCGCTTCCTATGGATTCCTCGTTCAGTACGAACTGTGCCGCTCGCAGGTAGTTCTAGACCCTCAGATAGATCCGGCGGTCGCCAGCTCGGTCGCACGCGTCCTCATCCTTTCCGGTTTTATCCACCTTGTTCCCGGCTTCCATAAAGGCTCCAAGCCAAGACCCAAGGTCGAGGTCGCTGCTTCAAGTATCTCGCTAATCTCGACGCCCTCGTACGGCGCCTTGCGGGCGAGTCGGAGATACTCGACCATGAAGAAGGGTAAACTTGAAAAGTTTAAGCATTACCATCGTCGATTGATAGGCTCGATATTTTGAGCAGTTAGTAATTTCGGGTTAGCTTGCTCTTTAGATTAATATTTTCTCCTTCTTTTCTCTTTTCCTTTTTCTTTCTTTTTTTGTAGAGTGTGCTCGCTTCACTGCCTGCTCCACATAGATCGTCTTATAATTGCGCAATGATTGAAACACACCACACGCAGTGATACTTGGGAATACGTAGATCCAATGTGTCGGGAAATCCGGCCAGAGGAGTGCAGTTTA